TGAATGAAAATAGTTTGTGATTTTCCTTTTTTACTCACTTCATTGGACATGTCATTAACAATCGCAAGATATCAAAGTGATCCTGTGCAGGGCACTAAAGGAGCCACAGAAAACTTTAAAAAATTTCTCTAGAAACAACCACTTTTCATGCTAAGAACGTGGCGGCACCGCACGGAAGCGCAGTCGAGGGAATCAGCCACTGAAGGCCCTGCTGGTGCCCCCTCTGGCTTGCAACCGGAGTTCCTCAAAAGCCCCACCTACGCCTTCAGCGCGACTTCTGCCTCGAATACTAAGGCGACTTCTCGCTTCGACTTGACCGAAACATTCTTAGTTATTTTGCCATTATTAGCGACCTTCACCATAGTTTCCTTTGGTGGTGCACGAACAAACTTTTCCAGCTGTTGATTGAACAGCACCGCTTGAGCCCAACCAGCATACGTGCCGAATTTGTCTTCATAGAATTCCACTGAAAACAGCAATGCTGGTACGACGACAAGAACTTCTGTGGGTAAGCAATAGAAACACAGATATTGCTCCAGAGAAGATTGAGTAGTTGATCCACAAACCTTTCAACATTCAAACATAAAGCCCATTTAAGCAACACATCCGGATTCTCAATGCATTAAGCTTTGATCTGAACTAAAGATCCCTTCTGTGAGCAGTGGGTTCCCCCATTTAGTATAAAGGATGAGCGGATGCCAAACTGCCGTTTCAGCTACATTCCTGAAAGCTACATCTCCTCCCATGCCTAGGGTTGTGACATGGCTACCACGATATATACTACTACCTTTTGGGTGCCGAAAACGTTTCCTCTCTTATCAATATTGAAGGGAATCGGAAAGACCAGGGACAATTTCGTGAGCCAACTTGAGCCGATTTATTGGTGAATAGGGGCGCTTTGGTGCTGATCTCACACATTTGGGTAATTCTTCTTGTAAGTCGAGACTTCACTAAGTGAACAACGAGCCTCTAGGGGCCAACATTACCGATTCACGTCATCAGATTGTATCAAGAAGAGAATCGAAGATGCTGTCGCCATTAACAAAGAGAGTAGCGACTGATGTTACTGGCGGAAGCAGGCTACTGACGGTGAAAGTACAAATCTACTCTTCACGATTGTGATTTGTGAAAGGTGAGGTAGTAAGGACCACAGGCAAACTCACAGCCCGACCCCGCCCGGGCCCCCTCAGGCGACGCCTCAAGTGTTTGTCAGGGTTTGAGTCTTTCAAAGACGGGAGTAATTAACTTTCTTCAGTTCTTGAACAATATTACCTAGTAAGCCATGAAATCGTAGGGCAATACAGTCGGACTGTGAAGAACTTACTTCAAAGACATGCCGATCAATTGGAACGCATTGGTGTTGTTTGAGAGACATGAGTGCCACACATTCAGCAACCTAGAAAATGTTCCTTGGCATGACATCAAGCAGGACTACTGATTATTTACATCTGAGCTTTGCTACAGACGAGCAAGTGTCACTCCTTGAAGTGACTCTGCGTCTGCCTACCACACTCACTCACACCAGGTAGTCGTCACAGTATATGGGTCAGGTGTTCATGGCACCTAAAGTAGTCCGACTTCGCAACTGTTGTCGCAAAGTGGGACTACTACCTTAGACTGCAGGCTTTTATGCAACATGAGACTCCTACTGTGGTTACTTACCTTCGGGCCAACTCCTGCAAAATTCAGAAGAAATTTTCGAATTTCGTCGGTTGGCAAATGTTGCAATTCCACGAGACACGTACTGGACATTTCACTTAGTTGTGTGACTGTTCCGCTGAAAATGTCTAATCACTTCTGGGAAAAACCGCATTATTAGATTGTTAACAAAAGAAAACGGGAACATCAAATGAACATGAACGTCAGCAGCGGTCACCGAGTTGAAGAGGTGGTTAGTGTGGGAGATTCGTCTGTAATTGGTGCCACACAAACCCACCAATCACAGAAGTCTTACTCACGCTTCACAAGATTGCAGCGAAAGGCCAGCGTAACCGCTCGATTAAATGAAATTGTGAGACGAAAAATATTGACTACATAGCAACAGTCACAAAATTTGGTGTGTAGACTCACCTTATACTTTTAGCCCTATATCCGAAGAGATGTTCTCGAAGCACTTTCTCAAGTTGATCCTTTTGTACGCAGCTCAACTGTGATAAAACGGGAAAAGCATAGCCTAATTCAGGGAAACGACTTAGCACTTCTTTGCCATCGCCAGGCGGATCGAGCACAATAGGGTCACCATATAGTTGCGCCAACTTGTTGACCATACCTGAATGTTAAGAATGAATTACCCTTTATATCCGGCGGCCGGGTGCGTCTGCAGGGCAGACTTCATAACACGAGTGAGGACGTCCTTCACAAAATGTGATAGTTTCCGCCAACGAAATGATTAGCCGTTGCAGTTGTATTCTATCGATTGTCACTGATTACAGCTATCATTTATCGACTATCAGCTGCCACTGCAAACCACCGCTTAGCAGATTTTTTTGCTAGCCGTCGTCACTTTTGTTGCGAAGTCTGCAGTGCGGACGCACCTGCTCGCCGGATACAAGGGATACATAAGTCGAAAGGGTGAGGTCTGAGTTATGAACACTGTCCCTCCATAAAATTGTATGATTCAACGTGTAGGTAAAGGGACTAACTAGATATTCTTGGAATGTTATTGTTCGCCGAGCATATAAAGGCCAGGAGAGTTTCCAGTGGGTCTTGGCTGAGCACGCGGAATGCCTTGTAACTCTTTTACGTTTCTCAGTTCGGCCATCAGTGAGTCTTGAGCAGACCAATAGTCCCATAATTTCTCCAAACATATATCGAGCTGAAATTAATCCACCATGAGCTTCTTGGTCGAGCCCTCAACAGTGCCGTTCCATGATGAGCCTTCAGTAATCATTGGCAAGAGGTGGAGCCACACTGAGACGTGTGTGGTCAGAATCGCATGCTCGCCTATTAGGATGAAAAAGAAAAGATCGTGTGAATAGATGATTCACTAAATTTATACAGCTCGGTGCGTAACCGGCGTTTTTTTTTTCGCTGACCGGTGCATGTTTATACTCGATGCCGTGAGCCGCGCGATGAACATAAATATTTCAATTATATATCATATACACCTATTATATAAGCAATGTCGTATAACTTCGTATAAATTTCAAATATTTTATTCACAGGAGTCGTGTGGAATTATAATTAGCCACAATAATAAAGGCGCACGTAATCAAAAAAGTGACAGGAAGTGAAAAAAGTATATCGAAAAATTTAAGTAAAGGCGGAACTACGATGAAAAGGCAGCCCATGAGAGGATCAAGGTAGAAGGTATTCAGTGGCGCAGGGATAAGAAAAAAAAACAAGAAGCCCAAAATTCGAGACTTCACATTAGATTTACGCGCTTAACGTGACTGATTTGCTATGCGTCCCCATCTAATGCCTCTCCTGCCTGAGTAAGCGTCCGGCAGAATAGAGGAAATACGAGGGGCATGTTCGCCGGGGCTGTGGCGGCGCTACGAGGCTGGGATACCTTACGCGAAAGGCAATTCTTACATGCGCGTCGGATCCATCTCTGCGTTCCGCTCATTTTCACACTAGGTAGGCTCACCTTCTACTCGAGTCCGACCGGATTAATTAGGATAAGATCATTCTTTCCATGACTCTGAGGAAACGTGAATAACGTAGTTAAAGCATAAACATTTATATTGCAGTGATTCAATGGTTCGCTGCAACAGTTTGTTTCATTTCCTACAGGGCAGCAGTTATGATTTCATAGCAAATTAAATTCAGTTAATGTATGCTATACGAAGAGAGGTACGATCAGATAATGACTGCATACGGTGACCGCAACCGTAACACGTGACTGGTTGGCGCGCGATGCCACGTGTCATCGATTTGAATTCGACGTGCCCTTTTGTCGTTTTTCCGCGCACTCCACGGCGACAAAATGGACGTGATAGAACCTGTCAATTGTACGGAGCGTCCGTGCTGTATACATGTGGAGTATGGCAGGCAGTCGAACGTGCCGGCAAGGGGTTTGGCGGCACCCTGGGGTTTACCTCCCTTGCCCTTGCTCAGTCGCTTACCTCGCGGCGGAGGCGAGCGCTGCGTGTATTTTTGGATAGTCGCCCAAGGGCGATTGTGGTAGATGGGGGTATTGCGCACTCGCCGTGCGAGGCATTATACCCTCTAGTGCAGCTGCGTGCTCCAGTGCCAACGTGGATTACGGTAGCGGTCAGTCATCGGACTGTAAACCGTCTTGTAGTCCTTTTAACTGATTCAGTCTCATGTATTCTCCGAATTCAAAATTCAAAATGTCAAGTATATCCATAGAAAACGATTGCGCCACGTGCAGCAAGCGAAATAGGTTAAGCTATTTTGATTTGATTTTGACTGGGCAGGTAAAGGCATATCGGGATGAGGTATGAATTCTTTCGTGAGTACGGTAGTCGGAAGCAGTGCATCTTTGGTGACTCAGAACGCGTGGCACGGGTGCCAGGGGCTTTATACTTGCGCCAGCGCGCATCTTTTGCATTAATGCCTGTATATCGCTAAAATATCTGCGCCTCGCTCGTTTGCTACGCTACCTCGCCTAAGCGTACAGCGTATCTCAGTCGCCTGTCCCATGAAATGCCTAGCGCTCCTTCAGTGCATGGAAAAAGAAGGTTCTTATCTTCATCATTCTCGTTTATTTCTCTTCCTCCTTTTCCTCGCCGAAAATCCACTTGCCACCACTACATAGAATCACTTTCAAGAGTAATAACCACACCTTAACACTTTAGAGACCGCGCATGTTTTACGTTCCGCGGCCGCGCGGGACTTCGGTGAAATTTTTAGGGATCTTATCTAGCAAATTCAAAAGAAGAACCCA